CCTTGAACAAGGCCTTGACTCGGCGTTGGCCATTCCCTCCTCATTACCTGAAGGTGCCTGAATGAAGCATGACGACGGCTGCAGCAGAGTCCAAGCCGTGTCGGCTTCTCAAATGTCTGGCCCGCCATGCCCGCCCAAATCCCCTGCGAGTCTCCTCGAAGCATTCTTTCTCATGTCCTGCGAGTTTCTACAGCCTCTAAGCTCTGTCCTAGTTCCAGCACTTGCGAAGGGGTACCAGGGTCCAACTTGGAATCCATGGAAATCATCATTCAGTAAGTATCAGGGGGAAAGGTGAGCCCCGCATTTCCTGCAGACATTGGACCAAATATCCATTCTCTTGAGATAGTGATGGGCTATTCTTTTAATGGTTTGAAAGGCTTTCGCTCATGCAGTCTGTAACTCGACTGTCCAGATCTCGAGCCCTGTTGGCATTGTCTCTTATGAGACACCAGGACATATGCCTCCGGTATCTGGGGCTGTTGGCCCGATGAGATGACGTTAACAGCATTATCTGCACGCTAGCTTGGCACGCATGAGGCCCCGACACCATATGAAAGGCCCCGGTTTCAACGCATGCTACCGGTATGGTATTCATAGGGCCTCATTGATTCATCATCTCAAAAGTCCAAACGGTTTCTTTTTGGAGATGACTAACATGTTGCTGGAGTCTGGGCGTCTCAGTATCGTCCCAGCCAGTCCAGACAGGCGCAGCGGAGAAACTCGTTGTGCCACAATTGCTTACACTGGCAGAAGCCCGTCATCGACCAAGTTTGGGCATCGATCTCCGCCGCTGCTGTCTCTCGTCGTTGGCGTTCGTGACGAGCATCTCCCACTAGGTGGGATGTTTTATTTTCTTCCAAATCTCAATGTTGCTACGTTGCAAGGAGACACTCATGGCACTTGCTAACTTATCAGCCAGTTGTGGTAATTTCAGACTTTCAGTTCATGAGAAAGAGTCGGTCATGGAGACCTCTTGTTCTTGAAAGAGACGTTCGTGATAAATCGTCGAGCGCTTCAATGAGCATCTCGAAGTCTACCATGCGGACCAAGGTCCGCATACCTGCAGAGATGTCGTTGTCTTGAGACGGGACCGTTTTCTCCGAGATTTCTCTACGGTATTCATCAATAATAAGTGGACTTTCGGATATGAAATGTGGAAGGGTCTCTGGGGGACCGTTCCGGGGCTGAATCTTATTTGTGGTCCGGCGACCTGTCGAGTGGCGATCACGCGGTTCGAATACGCAGTCTGGGAGAAAGCACGAGACCTGGCAGGTCGGTGCCTATAGTCTTTGATCTGATTTCGATGAGGGTCTATAGCGGGAAAGTCTCATTCATCCCTCTCCCCCGGTCTGGTTTCCGGGATCAAGAGTTTTGATGTCCGTGTCTTTCCATTCTCCAGCATCAAAACTGCTTACACCTAGGTCCTTAACCCCTAAATACATATTCTGCGAAGCCACTGGACTGGGCACTGGCCGAGGTGATTTGACTGCTGTTTCCCCTGCTGTGAAAACCCGTGCTGAGTGGGATTGGAACATCTTCAACATCCAAGTCCTTCAAACTCATTCATGAAACTATGTTCATGAAGAAGATCGAATTTGATGTGCCTCGAGGTAATTGAGGCTAGTCCCAAGCCGCTGGGGAAGGCTTTGAGAACGCCGTTCACGGTAAATAACGCTTCATGAAACGAGGTCAAGCCGGATAAAGCCAGATAAAATCCAAATGGTCAAGCCGTATCTTGCGTAACACGGTGAACAATATCCCGAACGATACTGGTCGCGTCGATCTGCACGACCTCTCTGCCATTCCCGAATTTCGCTATGGGCAGCTTTCTGGGGACGTTCATGCTGTTTCCATTGCTCTAATGGTCGTTGACGGGGACTCGAAGAGGAGATGAATCTCCGGAGTTGGCCGGTTTGGTAGACACACAATGCAAGAATCAGGCACCAAGTGGTCCGCCTTCAGGAAAAACGTTCATAATACGTTGGAAAGCTTCGCCTGCATCTTATCAATATTCATTTTACGGAATTGTCCCGCCGTTAACGAACGGTGGGTAACGTTGGCCCGTTTTCCACGCATGTGACGCAACGAGATGGATGGCACGAGAAATCTTGGCGAGATCACAAGCAATACCTTGAACAGCCTGTCTGGATTTGCTCCAATCGGTCATACCTCACGGGCTATGGACATGTCTGGGCATTTCTGTAGCATTCTTCGGCCCTGTATCGCTCCGGGCGCAGGCAGGCAAAGCATGAAGCGCGAAATCGGGGACCGAGTTTGGCAATGCCGTGTTGCCAGATCATGGGTGTGCAACTTTCGGGTCAGCTCCCTATTTCTCATCGATGGAATTTTTCATGGATCATTCCCAAATCAAACTCAAGATGGAGTGGATTCCAACTTGGTGGAAATCCCGAAAGGACATGTGAAACCGGGTTGGCGGGTCACCATGCATGTTCTCTGCCGTTGGACATCTCATCAACGGTATGGCTCATTGAATGGGTTACGCTTGATCTTGGACCAACGGCTATGGTTGTGAGCGGCGCCGGCTTTTCCTCCAGCGGTGGCCTGCCGACTCCGTCTCTCACAAAGGTAAGAACATCACGGCTATTAATCTGAGGCTGACAAGACCAACGATCTAGGTGACGAGATCCGGTCTTCAACCACATTATCGTGACCAACACGACGTCACTGGCCCCCATGATTCCTCCTGTTAGGCTAACACCCCGACATCTACGGCGCATGGGCGTACGCCGACCCGGATTCCGGCGCGGCGGGCCCGGCCGCCGACGGCAGACGAGATCGTCGAGCGGCGCCAACGAGACCTCCAGAATACGAAGCCGATCATGCCGCGTGGGCGGCCCGCCAACCAACCCTCGCAGACTCCGCCTGCGTGGCCGCATCTACTGAAGACGCGGAGCTGCTGCCTCCGCAACGCGTTATGGCCGCTGACCTTCAGGTGGAGTATTCCTCCCGGCTCCGGGATGACGATATTGCTGCTGCCTAACGCGCTGAAGTCTCCGCTGGACTTGAACTCGTGTGGCAGTGGATCCAAAGGACAGTCGACTTGGCGGTCCTTACGTCTGCGCAAATGGAACCCTCGCGGGCTGGGCACCGTTGTCCGGCCCGCGCGGACATCCGTTCTCGCGCTGAGCCTAGGCCCTGACCCGTGTATATCCCTGCCCGACCGACCTCTCAGTCCATAGCTTTGTAGGGGGCGGGTGTATCTGGACGCTGTATGTGGCTAGTTCCAATATAAACCCGGTCTAGTGGTGTGAAGAGTGGTATAGAGCGTTCATGGCTGCGAAGGCATATTCTATCTCCGATGTACTTGAGGTTCTCGGCATCAGAAATGTTTACTCATTGGGTATGGCGAGCCAAAACAATGAGGATAGCTGCATTGCATTGCGCAGACAATTGCACTAGTTCTCGGCATTCAGACGTTTCTGAATGGCGTCAGCGCATGACTGGCGCCGGGTTGGGACGTCCACGCCCGGTATGAGGTATTGGCCGCGCAAGAGGCGGGAACGCCAACCTGGACTCTCGCGGAGCACGAAGGATTCCTCGCTACAACAAAACGGAACAGCGGAGACGTCTCCCAGCCGGCCTCTGGCCCAAGCGGCGCGTACGCCACATTTTGCCGGCCGGGAAGAGGCATAGAGGATGGAACTCGCGCCGGACGCGACTCCTGCTGCGCTGAAAGCCATTCCAAACGCGCCGAGCGCCTCCGAGGGCAGAAAGAAATAGTTCCCATGTGCTTTCCGCCACAAGTGGGACCCCGCTGAATGCGCGCGACTTGAAAGGGCCCTCCATGGCGTTCCAACACCCAGCCGGACGTCCAGTCCCAACCGACGATCCATGTGGAGGATATTCGGATCCGGCTTCAGCTCCTTGAGTGGCGCCCGTTTTGTGTCCATTTGCGCTGGAAGAGCTGGCTGGAGCTGGAGATCGTTGTACCGGCTTCAATAACGGCTTGCACGCGCGCGCCGAGACCGCCCGGGCGCGTACGGACCCAACCCCGGGACATTCCGCGGTATTCCCCGGTGGAAAACGCCGCCGTCCGCGCTGAAGTGCCTCGCGGTATGGGGCGACTGGTTAGTCCGGGCCCCTACTCAGGGAGGTCCGCTCTGGAGGGAGGTGGTTGCGTTGTGGATGTCCTCCTTTTCCTGTGTAGATTGCCCTTTGTATAGCCAGTTACGCCGCTGACGTCGTAACTCTGGTGTGTGTGTGTCGTGATCCATGCTCTCGTGGATACATATCAACAGCAAGAACACGATGCTGGTCCTGCGACTTCGTGTTCTTCGCGTTCGGACGTGATATCGAGTGTCGTTTGTGGGGTCGCTACAGGGCAACCTCTGGTCCATGTCTCGCTAAATGGGCCGATGGATCACCGAGAGCCGTTTTCACGTATTCCTCCCTGACGTTTGCTTCACTGCTTCCAGGAACATGAGAGGAATCAGACGAGTTGGTGCCGGTCGAGGCCCAGGCTGGCTGCAGGTGACAGACAGCCGAGGCCACGAGTTAGCCTGAAAAGGTCTCGACAAGATCATGTTTATTGGAACGGGGAACATGCGAGCAAAGGTTTGAGCTGATGCCTATTGGTTGGGGGTTCGCACCTTGCGAAGCGTGAGGTAAGGCGAGTCGCCAGGCACAGGGTTCGGCATTGGACGTCATGCTTGGATTGATCACCGTCGGACGCATTCGTGCCAATGTAATTACGCGCAAGACGAGGAATTCGCGTACCGGACGAGAAATCTGAATTGTAAGCTACAAGTGAGAAGGAGCCACAAGGACATGGAGAAAATCGGTTCCAGTCGAGCAACAAGAGGTCTTCCGAACCTGGCTTGCGATGCTGTCCCCTCTTCGAATCCGTAAGCATGCCACAGTGACATTGTTTCTCCCTTTCGCCCTGACCAAAAGCTCCCTCGACACCATGTCGAGTGCTTGCTGAATGCGAAACCTTGCAAACGCCTTCCGCGCATGTCCCACCAAACGCGCCCGATCCTTCAAAGAATGAGACCAATCGAGGTTGCGGCCACGAGTACGAACAGGCAAGCAAGCATGGCCCGCATGCGAGCCGTGTCGCGGCGCTTGAAGTTCTCGGTACGGGCCTCGGGGCCCTTCTGGATCATCTCTTGATTCGGTTTGGTAATCTTGGCCAACCAGGCTGCTCTTGTCTGTCATCGGGAGGAGGGTTAGCAATGTGTCGAAGCATGGAACTCGAGTACGCAAAGGAAGACACAGACCTGCCGTGCAAAGACGACGTCTCTGGCGAGTTCCCTGGCCTGGTATCTGCCGAGACCACATTCGACCAAATATTCTCCCAGCTCAAACTCCGAAAGCGCATGGAGTTCGGCGCCAGTCCAGGCAATGGGGTGTTTCAGCGCAGTCTGGCGGAAGTCCAGAGCCCCATTGAGCCATCGGCGCGTGGACTCGATGTCGTCGCCTGGGTGAGGCAAATTCTGAGCCAGATTGGAAATGTGGCTGTTGAGCGAGTGCTCTGTCGTATGGTCGTTGACGAGGGGCGGCCAAGACGTGGTGAGGCCGTACTGTTCGGCCTGTTCCAGCGCGGTAGCATCTGCGTCGCGGGGAGGATCTAGGAGTATGTTGCGGGTGTTTTCGATGACCGACATGATCGGAAGCAACGAGCGCGGTGAATTCTCTGCGTTGTTGTGTTGGGTGGATTCGGATTGGCGACGGAGGCAAGAGAATTCGTTGCTTGAAAGTAGTCAGTGAGGTGGTTGGGATGTGGAAAAAAGAAGAATCGCATAGTCGACCCGAACTGGGCAGATTTGGATGGAAAGTTTTGTTTAAATCCCATTCGCCCGAGGTTTCAATGTCGGAAAGAACGAGGCGAAAGTTGCTGAGGAAGAAGGCAGGCGCGCAACTTTCCCTCGGCTGAAGATGCGAGGGAGCAATTCAATGGAGCTGCACAAACGACGTAGGTAGGTACCTTCCGCACCATCACCAGCCGGCCCGGGCTGTTGAACATGGCACCAGAAATCACCGTCCCGATGGATGTCTGTTTTCGTCTCTGACCGCGATAAAGTGTGGCGTGATGATTTTTGCCATTGGGTTGAGTGGTCGACGGCTGCTGCTTCTGTTGTCTATGACCAAGAGCAGAAAGAAAAAAGCCGACCAGAAGAGGCGTGGTCACAATGTGTCTAGGCTTGGTTGAGGTCCGGGTACTGTGGAGGCGGACGAGAAGAAGCACAGCCCGGCCTCGAAGAAGGCGGTCGGTAGGCAATGGTGCAACTTGAACTGGAAAGTCCAGCTCGATGCGCTGTAATTACAGTGGAGAGAGGCTGATTTTCAGGGACCTACCCCCTGAAGCACGGGCCAGGCCAGTGGAGTGTTCTGGCAAAAAAACAGCCAGTTCACTCGTAGTGGTGGCTTGTGCACGGCGAGACCTCAAAAGTAGGGAGGTACGGATAACCATTGACCGCACCGCACCTTGCGGCCCAAACCTGGAAAGTCTGAGGTGCCGCAATCTCATGTGACTGCGCGCACCCGACGCGTCGCAGGGTGCACAGCGTGATTGCTGCGATGCGCGACTTTGGCGCGACTGCTGCCTCGACTGCAGACAGCGACGCCGCCCATCGTCTGTCTAGGTGTTCCGCGACTTGACATTGCGAACCCAGCGGATTCTCCCCTGTCCACGATTCACGATGGCTTGAATAACATCGGCTTTGACAATATTGGCTTAGACACAATATCGGCTTGGACAATATCAGCTTGGGCTTCCACTGAACATGCTTGTCTTTTGTCGTAATTTTCGCATCTGGGCCGTCCCCGTCCTGCATCGGCCGATTATTCCGAGAACGGCCTGGCCGAGGCCATACCAGTTCGCAGTTCATTTGCCGGTGCATTTTCAAGCTTCATTGCGCCCTCGCCAACGTCGATCAAGGTGAGTCTTCGACAGATCTGGATCCAAAAGGCGGTGCATTTCAATCGCTGCCACAACGCCATCGAGAAACGAAGGCAGAGCACTTTGGGCATTGGACGTGTTTGACGGAACTTCGCGAGGGACGATGTTGTGGACGACATCTGAGACAGCAGTTGAGCATCTTGGAAGCAAAATCACATAGCGTGCGATCGTCCTGGTCAACGACTTACAGCCGATGCCGAAAGCCGATCGGGTGGTGAGCATGGCTGGGCGGCCATCACTTGCGCAGGGATTCGGGCTGCCCTGGAGGCAGTCGGTTCCGCCTGGATGTGGGCATGGCCCCGGTCGAGGATGAAGGGCAGCAGGATCGCAGTGGAGGTTTGCAATAGAATGGGACCGGGCAGCGCCAAAGATACCAAAATTCATGGGCAGCGAAACGCAAAAAAGGCCAAGGTTTATCCGTAGCCACCCTTGGTTGAGATGAGGACATGGTTGCCGAGAGATCCCGGGAAGATTTATCTACCTAGGCTCCGTCCAGTTGGATCCTGCGGCGGGATCAATCGTGATGCTCGTGACCATCTACAGCGATATCTTTGTCTGCTGAAATCGTCTTTGTTTCCATACATGACAATGATTTTGGACGACATGCTCGTCGCCATTTCTGCGAGGGCCGGATAACTACGGGCTTTGTCGGGGCCCGGATCCACTCTCTCCATCGCCGGCCCTGTCCCATGAGATTCTGCCGACGGAGCTGACGGAGAGAGCAAACCTGACCTGGACGGCGGACCGATGGAAGGGCAAGTCTCTATGGTCTGCATTACCAGCCTGCTCTACCACATACGACCATACCCATTGGAAAACTCGGGATCCCGTCCGCTCTCCCATAGATAAGCCAATGAGGGCCGGATTAGTAGTTGGGTCGGTGACGACCAGCGAATACCTGGTGTTGTATGTAAGCTTTTGCCATGGGCTGCTTTTTGTAATGTCCACTCTTTTGTTGCTGGCGACGCTGGCGATGGCTGAAGCGGATTTGGGAACCGAACGTTTTTGTTTTAGTCTTGTGCGAACGAAACGTCTACCTCGCGAAGACTGGGTGAGACGCAAGTGTCCGAAGCAGCCGACTATTTTCTGCAAGATGGACATCTCTCCGAATGGGAAACAGATGCTTCTCTTCCCCAGCCCACGCTGCGATGACACGTCCAAGTCAACGTAGTGAGCCACCAGGAGGTCGTCATCAAGCATGGTCACTTCCATGACAATGCTTTCGGCCTGCTGACAGTATCAGTGCATAAAATACGTAACTCGGTGATTATTTCCATTTGCGTTCCGCACGTGTGATGCCGGCCTCCCACCCTTACGGGATAGCAAGCCTAAAGTCCACTCTAGAGGCAGAATAGATAATGCTAAAGCCTTAATAAGTTAAGCTGAGTATCTTAGGGTTATTAAAATATAAACTTTATAGCTACTAGCTAACTACTATCTTTATAAAGTTACTTTTTATAACTATTACTATTACTATTTACTAAAAGAATAAAGAGTATAATGACTTAATTAATTTAACTATTCTCTAAATTTATAATATCTATTAAGTTCTATTTATTTAGTTAACCTCCCCTATTTTATTACCCCCTTTATATTATTATTAATAATTGTTTTTTTAATTTAATTTAAATATTATTATTTTATTTTATTAATAAATATTTTTAATATTTTAGCTTAATATTAATTAATTTATTATTTAGTTTAAAATAAGTTTAAAATATATTTATAATAAATATTTAAATTATTTTTTATATTAAGAGCTTATAAACTTAGCTATAATATTAATTTATATAAGGAATACTTATAATTAATATATTTCTTTAAAAAGATAGTTATTATATAAAATATATATTTTAAACTATATAAGCTAATAGATTTTATTATTTAATAACTTATTAAGATTTTAAAATAAATTAATTAATAAGCTATAATTCTTAATAATAGCTTTATTCTATAAAGGGTTTAAAAATATTAACTTATTAACAAAAATATAATAACTAAAGAGTTAAGAAATAATCTATAGAAATTAAATAGTTTCTTATTTTATATTATAGCTAATATATATTATTATTATTATTATTACTTTTAATATTATAATAAAGTTTAAATTAATAATATTATAAAAAAGATAAATCTTTAAAACTCTTATTATAACTTTAATTAGCTTTTATTTATTATTATCTATTTAATATAACTTATATTATAAAGTCTTTAATAGTTTTATTAGCTAAAGCTATTATCTATTTAGTATAACTTATATTATAAAGTATTTATTAACCTTAATAGTTAAATACCCTAGTAATTAAAGCTATTACTATTAAGCTATTTAATAATCTATTTAATAGCTATAGAGATTCTACTTATTATCATATAATACTATATATTAATATAGGTTAAAGATACTATTAATACTTTATATTTTACTATTTTTTATATTAAGTAGATATAAGAGCTATATAAAGTATAAGCTATATATATAATAAACTAAATAGAAATATAAACTTTAGATATAATGTTAGATAAGGGAGAATGTAATAGTTATAAATGAAGTTGTATTCCAGCTCGCCGTATTGAAAATAATGGAAACGGTCTAGATCCGCCAGATTGAAGTCGCGCAAACCTTTTCTCTCTTTATGCTAGACAAGCTAGTAGCGTAGTTGAATCCTCAACGAATGCAATCCCAAAGTAAAAAATACCTCTACGAAAGCACCCAAAGATATCGTGAGGCTCCTAAATCTGGCCTATCTAAAGATCACGGTGGTTTTCAAGGACTGTCGCGGGTTCCTTTTGCCGCCGTTCCGCTGCATGATCGGAGATCTATCACAAATGGCTCTGCATCGAGACCTTGGGCCGACTGCTAAAATAGGATTCCACGCCGAATTTTCTGGATTTCTCCAGCCCTTCATCTAGAATGAGTCCGAGTTTGTTTCATTCTATCTCAAGTTGCTCCTATCTTGCGGCTTTGGCTTGTCTATCGTGAATCTCTCGCCACTTGTGTCTTCTAGTGATGTGTAGTAAGCATGAGACCATTTGATGGGATTCCTTGAACTAACAGCCCAACATCCAAGACAGGTGGCGATCTTTTTCCCTTCGATTATACCGCTCTGCATTACCGAATAAGTTCGGCGCGATTTGGACTTCTGAATGCCGAAGAGACTAAACATTTCCAGATTGGCCTGAAGGAAGAATATGCCGGACTATGTAGCCATGTAATAAACCAAACGGTTCCACTCACAACTACTCCAACGAAACAGCCGGCTCCGTGTGTACCTTGAAACCAGTACAGATAAGAAGTACAAGGCAGCTCCGAGTATTGCGCGGCATAATCTATCATGTCTTTACCTTCTCTAGGCTTGAGATGTCGGAGACGTGAACGTCCTGTCACATCCCTACGGAGACATCCTCACGTGCGTGATCGGAAACTTCCTTTAGTTCCTGTCTAGAATAACACATCCATCACTCGTCGTCTGGAATCATATCTTCATCTTCCGGCGCGTCTTGGCGTTCGCAGCTCATCATCAGCTTGATGCAAGTCACGATATGGCTCGAGCTGGGTTGGCTCGCAGTCCTGAGTTAGACGTAGTCCTCGGCTGCGTGATAACCAACTGGTTCGCCGAATCATGGTGATGTTGGACAAAACCAAATGCTACATCCGTTCGGGTTGGAGCATGGCATTTAACCCTGGTAGTCATGAGTCATGAGTAT